TCCTCCTAAGTACTTCAAAAAGTCCAATAAACCGCGGACTCAACTTCCCTTTCTTCCCAAACCGCATAACACCCTTCATGGGCGAAACCTTCAGCAAGACCTTCTCACCAACCACATAAGACACATCTGGAACCTTCCGGTCCGCATAACTCTTCTGACGCGACTGAGCTGTACGAAGCCTCTCTTGAATCAGCTTCACCTTCTCCAAGGCATCCTGAACCATCTCTGTCCCCAATAGCCTAGCCTCACCGGGCTCGAACCAACCAACAGGAGATCTACACCGCCTCCCATACAGTTCCTCATACGGAGCCATCTGAATACTCGATTGATAACTGTTGTTGTAGGCAAACTCTGCAAGCGGCAAAAACCCATCCCAAGAACCTCCAAAATCAATAACACAGGCACGCAATATGTCCTCCAATATCTGAATAGTACGCTCGGACTGTCCGTCCGTCTGAGGATGAAATGCTGTGCTCAACTCCACCTGAGTACCCAACTCCCGCTGAAAAGTCTTCCAAAACTGAGAAGTGAACTGAGTACCCCTATCTGAGATAATAGACACTGGAACCCCATGCAATCGGACAATCACCCGGATAAAGATCCCTGCCAGCCGCTCCGAGGAATAGGTAGTACATACTGGAATGAAGTGCGCGGACTTGGTCAGCCGATCCACAATCACCCAAATCGAATCAAACTTCTTCAAAGTCCGAGGGAGACCACTCACAAAATCCATAGTAATCCTCTCCCACTTCCACTCTGAATAATCATCCGCTGAAGCACATCGCCCGGCCTCTGATGCTCGTACTTTACCTGCTGACAGTTGAGACACCGAGCCACAAACCCTACAATATCCTTCTTCATCCTCCTCCACCAATAGTGCTGCCTCAAATCCTGAGACATCTTCGCGGCACCCGGATGAACGGAATACCGCGAGCTGTGGGCCTCCTCTAATATCAACTCCCGAAGCCCATCCACATTGGGCACACAAATTCGGCCCTGCACAGCACACCATCATCACCAATGGTCACATCCCTGGCAAGATGAATGCTTGGTTTACGTTATGGAAGAAAGACATGTATATGTGATATTAGATATTGACTAGTGCTAGTTATATATGAAATGAACTAAAGATATATTTTACTACTCTAGGGGATTCTAATAGAACATCATGCTGAACCTTGTCCTTAAGGACAAGCAAATGCGGATCATCATACTGGCGCTCTCTAATGCGATCATACAAGGAAGACCGAGAAACCACACAAGCCAACACCCGACTAGGCTCCGAAATATCTAATCTCACCATCCGATTGGCCAAGGCCTGAACATCAACTGCAAAGGGTCTCTCCCTAATTGGAATGTATGCCAAGCTCCCCATACTAATTGCCTTTCGGCTTAAAGCATCGGCCCACTACATTGGCCTTCCTCGGGTGATACAGAATGGTAATATCATAATCCTTAAGTAACTCTAGCCACCTCCGCTGCCTCAAATTAAGATCCTTTTGCTTGAATAGATGCTGAAGACTGCGATGATCAGTGAATACCTCGCAAGATACGCCATACAAGTAGTGCCTCCAAATCTTCAAAGCATGAACTATAGCAGCCAACTCCAAATCATGAACATGGTAGTTCTTCTCGTGGGGCTTCAACTGACGAGAAGCATATGCAATAGCTTTACCCTCCTGCATCAATACACATCCAATCCCGATTCTCGAAGCATCGCAATATACAGTATAAGAACCTGAAGCTGATGGCAAAACCAACACTGGAGCCGTGGTCAAAGCTGTCTTGAGCTTCTGAAAGCTCTCCTCGCACTCGTCCGACCATACAAAGGGAGCACCCTTCTGAGTCAACTTGGTCAAGGGCGATGAAATAGAGGAAAATCCCTGAACAAACCGGCAATAATAACCTGCCAACCCAAGGAAACTACGAATCTCCGTGGCTGAGGTCGGTCTAGGCCAACTCTGAACCGCCTCTATCTTCTTCGGGTCGACCTGAATACCCTCGCTGGACACCACGTGCCCCAAGAAAGCTACTGAGCTGAGCCAAAACTCACACATGGAGAACTTTGCATAAAGCTTCTCCTCCCTCAATCTTTGCAATAAAACTCGCAAATGCTGCGCGTGCTCCTCCTGACTACGTGAGTACACCAGAATATCATCAATGAAAACGATAACGAATGAATCCAGATATGACTGAAATACACTGTTCATCAAATGCATGAACGATGCTGGGGCATTAGTCAGCCCAAAGGACATAACAAGAAAATCATAGTGCCCATATCTAGTCCTAAAAGCAGTCTTCATAATATCCGAATCCCTGATCTTCAACTGGTGATAGCCCGAACGGAGGTCAATCTTGGAGAACACCCTCACTCCCTGAAGCTGGTCAAATAAATCATCAATACGAGGCAGGGGGTACTTGTTCTTCACCGTTACTTTGTTCAATTGCCTGTAGTCAATGCACATCGTCATGGTGCCATCCTTCTTCTTCACAAACAGAACCGGTGCACCCCACGGTGACACACTAGGCCGAATGAACCCCTTATCTAGGAGTTCCTTAATCTGATCCTTCAATTCTTTCAACTCTGCTGGTGCCATACGATATGGCAGAATGGAAATGTGCTGAGTGCCCGGCACCAGGTCAATACCAAAATCAATATCCCTGTCCGAGGGCATGCCTGGCAGGTCTGCAGGGAAAACATCGGGAAACTCCCTCACAACTGGGACAGAATCAATGCTAGGAGTCTCGGCTCCAACATCCCTCACGAACGCCAAATATGAAAGGCAACCCTTCCCAACCACACGCTGGGCCTTTAAGAATGAAATCACCCTGCTAGGAACATAGTCAGTCATACCACGCCACTCGATCCTCGGTGTACCCGGTATAGCCAAAGTGACTGTCTTAGCATGACAGTCTAGGATAGCATGACACGGAGACAACCAGTCCATGCCCAGAATAACATCAAAATCTACCATGCTCAATAGCAACAGATCAACTCGGGTCTCCAGACCCCCAATAGTAACCAAACATGGCCGGTATACATGGTCTACAACGACAGTATCGCCCACCAGGGTACATACACGAACAAGTAAAGCAAGACACCCTCGGGTCGTACCCAAATGATGAGCAAAATACAAGGACACATAAGAATAGGTGGAACCGGGATCAAATAAGACTGAGGCATCTTTGTGGCAGACTGAAATAATACCTGTAATAATAGCATCCGAAGAAGTAGCATCTGTCCTGCCCTGAAGAGCATAAAAGCGAGCCTGACCACCGCCCGATCGACCACCTCCCCTGGGGCGACCCCTGGCTGCCTGACCCTCATCCCTAGCTGGCGGGGCGGGTGCTGAAGAAACTGGACCAGAAGATGAGGTCTGACCCCTCTACTGAGATGAGCTAGCAACACGACGAGGACACTCCCTCCGCATATGCCCAAACTCTCCACACTCATAGCAACTCCCAGGTGCTGGGGACTGGGACTAAAGGGAACCCCTCGCGCCGGAGTGACTAGCTGATGCACTCGGCCTGGAAAAACCCTGAGCAGACGGAGCACGAGACAAACTCTGTGCTGGAAGAGCGCTGAGAGATGGATGACTCTGCTGAGAACCCTGATAACCATGACTTGAAGATCCTCCTCGATACTCGGGTCGAGCCGACTGAGCGGGCCTGAAAGAAAGACCCCGACCCTGCTGGAGCTGGCCCCTCGAAGGAGCGCCACTGTAACTACCAGAACCTCGAGGCCTCTTGGCCTCCCTCTCATCTCGATCCTGACGGCGAACCGCCTCAATCTCTCGGGCTATATCAACCACCTCCTCGAATGTGGCACTCATCACTCGCTCCCTAGTCATAAGAACTCGAAGAGGGTAGCTGAGACCGTCAACAAACCTCCGGATACGCTCACGATCTGTCGGAACCAGCCAAACTGCATGGCGAGCCAACTCTGAAAATCTCATCTCACACTAGGACACTATCATATCTCCCTGTCGTAGCCACTCAAACTGTCTACGCAGCCCCTCTCTGCGGGACTGCGGTACATACTTCTCCAAGAAGAGAGTGGAGAACTCCTGCCAAGTCAAAGGTGCTGCACCAGCCGGTCTACGCTGCTCATACGCCTCCCACTAAGTGAAGGCAGCTCCAGTAAACTGAAAAGTAGTAAAAGCCACACCAATGGACTCAAGAATCCCCGCTGTACGGAGCATCCGCTGACATCTGTCGAGAAAACCCTGGGCATCCTCGCCCTCAGCTCCACTAAATGTCGGAGGCTGGAGCCTACCAAACCTCTCGAGGTGACGCTGCTCGTCCTCGGGCATAACTGGAACCCTGAACTCCTGCACTGGTGCAATTGGCTGAGCTGGAGGTGCCTCTGGAGTCTGTAATCCCTGCACTACCTGCTCAGGTGTGCGAGCATCGGGGGTCTGATTGCCATTCCTTGAAACATTCATACACCATTTGCACAGACACAGTATCTCTCATACAGAATAGTAACAAATCATCTGCAAAGCCAATCTGAGTGATGTACAGTTTGTCACATCTGGGGTGGAAATTAAAGTTAGGATCATTCCTCAACTGCTTCAGATTCCTAGTTAGATATTTCATGCCGAGCACAAACAAATAAGGTGACATTGGGTCACCTTGTCTTAGCCCTTTCCTAGCTTGAAATGGTTTAGTAGGCTTCCCATTTATAAGGATTGAATAGGACACAGTACTTACACACATCATCACCCATTGTACAAACTTCTCAGGAATATTCAGACTTGTTAACACTTGTTTAAGGAACACCCATTCAATTAAGTCATACGTTTTCTGAAAATCTAACTTCATCATGCATCTGGGTGAGATACCTTTCCTTCCATATCCCTTTACCAACTCATGACTCAGAATTATATTGTCAGCAATTACTCTTCCTGGTACAAAACCTGACTGGCTATTATCAATTGAATGGTCCATTACCTCTTGCAACCTATTAGTTAGAATCTTAGAGATAATTTTGTAAAGAACTATACATCAAGATATAGGTCTCCGATGGTTGAGGGATGTTGCACCTTAGGTATCAAAGTGACTGTTGTTACATTGATAGGTCGATACATTTCCCCTGTAGTAAAGAATTGCAAGACTGCCTTTATGATCTCCTGACCAGTGATATCCCATGTTTTTTTGAAGAACAGTGAGTCGAATCCATCACATCCTGGTGCTTTTAACTCATTAATACTCTTCAAAGCTTTGTACACTTCCTCTTCTCTGACAGGTTCAATGAGTTTCAACTGTTGCTCTCTATTTAGTATCTTCCCTTCCTTCATAACTCTTGGATGAATGACTGATAGGGCTGTTGCTGATGATCCAAGTAGAACTTTGTAAAAATCTACAATTTCCTTTTTAATTGCATCCATAGATTGAACTATTTCTCCTGTAGCAGTCGGCAGACTTCTAATCTCTTTTTGACTAACTCTACTCTTCATGCTGGCAAAGAAGAAAGCAGAATTTGAGTCTCCCAATTCCAACCATTGATTCCTGAATTTTTGTTTAAAGATACTTTCTTCAATATTGACCCATTTCTCCAGTTGTTTCTTCATTTCCTTCTCCTCTTCAAATAGCTTTGTTTGCAGATAGTTATTTCTTATTCTCTCTTGTATCTCTTTTAATTGATTCCTGGCATGTTTCACCTTTGCATCAACTGCTACAAACTCATTTGTATTCAGTTTCTTTAGCTCTCCCTTTATTTCTTTCAGCTTCCTCCATATTCCTGGCATTTGTGCTATTTCCTTTCTTGCCCAGACATTTTTAACTATTTGTAAGAACTCTTTATGATCTGCCAGGTGATTAAAGAACCTGAAAGGTCTGGGTTAGAGATTTATTATTAGAGTGTTCTTTAGATCTATAAATAAATTATAATTTTAGTCGAATAATTATTTCCTATTTAGTAATATTTAATGCATTTGGACTTGTACGTGTTTCTCTCTGTGCTTATATAAAAGGTTAAGAGTAGAGGAATTGATTCACCTGGCGAGTGGTGTTAGCTGGGTGCCAATCACGTCTAGGGGGTAGTTTGGGACGTGACATCAAATGCCACCTATACTCCCTCCGTCCCAAATTAGTGATCATGTTTCGCTTGTAGAGAGTCAAATTATATGGACTTTGGCTAATATTTTAACATATATTTTTCAGCATACTGGCATGATAAAAATTGCAATTTGTAGTGCTTTTTATATAATTTTTGAATTTTAAAATTTCAATCTTAAAATATGTAGTTGATCTAATATAATTCAATTTCGAAAAATAGTTAAGTTTACTCTCGGAAAGCGACATATGACAACTAATTCAGGACGGAGGAAATAATAGTAATTTCTAGTTACTCGTATTTAATTTTAATATCTGCATATTAATCTACCAAATATAATGGTAGCGGAGACCGAGCAATTTTAGTCATTTCGAAGAATTACATCAAGTGTTAGGCAAAAATTTTTCCTTTATACCACGAAGTAAAGGGCGGGGATGCTTGGTTGATGTCACGATCCAAAATCTAACCATGGTCGTGATGTTGCCTATCATGTTACAAGGCAAGCCTACTTCCCAATATATTACTATTAAACCGATTATAAGAATTGATAAAACATTTCAACATTTAAATTTCTCATAAACTAAATCAACTCTAAATATAAGATAGAAAAATACTGAAAACAAGCCTCAAATATCGAGGTGTCACTAAGTCATGAGCATAAAAAACTATAAACTAAGATATATAAACTGTCTAACTGTCCAAAAGAAGAAATGACAAGAGGAGTAACAAGGTCCTGTGGACACTAGCAGCTACATTGCAATCTCCACAGATAGCCGGCTTGAACTCACCCAGATCTGCACATAAAGTGCAGGGTGTAGTATGAGTACAACCGACTCAGTAGTAACAGAAATAACTAAGGAACTGAGCAATAGTGACGAGCTAAGTAAAACAGTCCAATTATTTATTTTCACAATTTAAAAATAAGCAAAAATAAAAAGGTAAATTCCATAACTCAGTAAATGCCACAAAGAAATTTAACAGATAAATGCAGCAACAACACAAATAAATACAACCTCACAGCAGTGTCACTCCACACTAATCACTCGCACTCAGCACTCAACACCTCAAAGCAGTCAACACTCTGCACTCACTGTGGTGTGTATAGACTTCGGAGGGGCTCCCAAAGCCCAAGCGCTAAGCACGGACAGCTCACGTGCCATAATATCAATACATGGATCCGCACGGTCAACTCACGTGCTACGTGGACAACTCACGCGCTATGGTATCAATACCTAGATCTGCACGGTCAACTCACGTGCTACACAGATAACTCAAATGCTATGGTATCAATACCTTATCATATCAAATATCTCACAACAGGCCCTCGGCCTCACACAGCCATGAACCTTCCTCGCCTTACCATCAGCAACAAATAAGGGGACACAGCCCACATCAAGTATCACAGCATATCAGCAAAATAATAGAGGCTGAGGTAAACATGTACAATAATTTCTATGACTGAGTGAAATTAGTGTGAGCATGAATAAAGCCTAAACATGATTTCTAACATGAAGGCAAACAAGTTCAACAGCAAGTAAACACATAACCACAGATAACAGCCATTAGGCCTCACAGCCTCACGGGACGGACCGAGTCTCAATTCCTTGCGGTGCACACCCACATGTCCGTCACCTAGTGTGGGTATCACGACCAAACAATCACATGATATCAATTTCTCCGGGTTTATACCCTCAAAGCCAGAGTTTAAAACTGTTACTTACCTCAACAGCGTAAAATCCTACTCCGGGATGTCCTCATCCCTCGACTCGCTCTCCAAAAGCTCCGAATCTAACCATAATCAGAATAATATTATCAACATGGCTAGAGAATCGAATTCCACAATAAAAACTACAAAAATAGGCCAAAAATCCGAAACCGACCAAAACCCGGCCCCTGGGCCCACATCTCATAACCAGTAAAAATAATGGCAGCATAATAATCCTCATCCTCTCCTGAGTTTAACAATATAAAATTTATCAAAATCGGACTCCGTTTGGTCCCTCAAATACTCACTTAAAACCCTCCAAAACTCAAACCCTAACTCCCTCAATTTCACTTTGAAATCATCAATCAAATCCCAAAAACGAAGATGGACTCATGAAATATAATCGAAACCGAGTAGAGAACACTTACCCCAATCCATATGGAGAAAATCGCCTCCATAATCGCCCAAATTCTAGCTCCACAACTCAAAATATGACCGAATGAACAAACCCTAGTTTTATATATTTTTCTGCCAGCTATTCTGCCTCGTTTCTCATGCCAAATCATCCCGAAACTCGCTTTTTATGCCTCCAATTGATTTCTTGTGAAATTTTAGTCAAGTTAAGGCTTTTTAATTACTCAATTTGACCGTATAATGAAGGAGATACGTTGGTTTCAATATTTGCAAATTGTGCATATTCAAATACGCCGTCAGTGGCAATTCCGTAATTAATCTGAAAAATCAAGCAACCTAATTCTTAGTAAAACGACCATAAAATCCTCATACGATTTCAAAATTTGACAATTCTTTCTGCTACGGATTCATAATTACGATACGGATCTAATGCTTCAATCAAAAAAGAAATCGGAGCTCATTTGTTCATTATGATATCATTTATGCTTGAAGAAACGGCGTCGAAACATAAGAAAAACGAGCGCAACACAACCCAAACCTATTCGAAACTCACCCGAGGCCCTCGGGACCTCAACCAATAATTCCAACAAGTCATATATCACTAACCGAACTTAGTCGAACCTCCGGAACACCCAAAACAACACCAAAACACCAAATCAACCTCGAATTCAAGCCTAAGAACTTCTAAACTTCCAAAATTCGCCAACGACGCCGAAACCTATCAAACCACGTCCGAATGACTTCAAATTTTACACAAACGTTAAATATGACACTACGAACCTACTTCAACTTCCAGAATTCCATTCCGACCCCGATACCTAATTTTCCACTGTCGACCAAAATCGCCAAATTTCCAACTTTCGCCAATTCAAGCCTAATTCTACCAGGGACCTCCAAATTACATTAAGGACACACTCCTAAGTCTAAAATCACCCAACGAAGCTAATCCAATCATAAAAATCCAAATCCGAATACATTTACTCATAAGTCAACTTTCGGTTGACTTTTCTAACTTAGCTTTCTAACTGAGAGGCTAAATGTCTCATTTCACTCCAAAACTATTCCGAACCCAAACCTACCAACTCGATACAACTCATCATAGCTGAACAACACACAAAGAAGCATAAATGGGGGAAATAGGGCTATAACTCTCAGAGCGAACGACCGGGTCGTTACATCCTCCCCCTCTTAAACAAACGTTTGTCCTCGAACGTGCCAAGAGTTATTCCTAAGCCGTCAAATCGCCGGGTAACATTACCATGCACATACTCGGGGGTGATCCCGTCACCCTATTCCATATAGGCCCGACAACACAACATAACTGATAATCATTACTTCAACCTTAGTCCGCAAACCACAGAATCCAATTTTAAACATCCAAAATTTACTACAAGACCCGATCTTCGCCTTTACACACTGTATAAGCCTGAACAAGCTATATCAAGTCATAACCACAACCCAAGATATAATCACCCAACATACCACACGACTCGCACCTCATCCAGGGAATCGCAAGTCGTCAATGCACAACTGATACTGAGCGCTCATGTGCGCATGCGAATGCATGGAAGGAAATCAAAGAGTTATACTTCAAGCTGAGTCAATACCGCACGATAAGAATTCAAGAATGTGAAATTTTCCTAAAGGTTCTGCAGCCTCTCGAAGATAAGTACAAACATCTCTGTACCGATCCACAAGACTCTACTAAACCCGCTCATGACTCGTGAGACCAATGTAACCTAGGCTCTGATACCAACATGTCACGACCCAAAATCTAACCATGGTCGTGATGGCACCTATCGGGTTACAAGGCAAGCCTACTTCCCAAAATATTACTACTAAACCGATTATAAGAAATTAATAAAACAATTCAACATTTAAATTTTTCATAAACCAAGTCAACTCTAAATATAATATAGAAAAATATGGAAAACAAGCCCCAAACATCGGGGTGTCACTAAGTCATGAGCGTCTAAAACTATAAACTAAGATATATAAACTGTCTAACTATCCAAAAGAAGAAATGACAAGAGGAGTAACAAGACCCTGCGGACACTAGCAACTACCTTGCAATGTCCACAGATTGCCGGCCTAAACTCAACGATCGCCGTGCTCTAACTCACCTGGATCTGCACATAAAGTACACGATGTAGTATGAGTACAACCGACTCAGTAGTAACAGAAATAACTAAGGAACTGAGCAGTAGTGACGAGCTAAATAAACAGTCCAATTATTTATTTTCACAATTTAAAAATAAACAAAAATAAACAGGTAAATTCCATAACTCAGTAAATGCCACAAAGAAATTTAACAGATAAATGCAGCAACAACACAAATAAATACAACCTCGCAGCTATGTCACTCCATCACTCATCACTCGCACTCAGCACTCAACACACTCAACACTCTGCGCTCACTAGGGGTGTGTACAGACTCTGGAGGGACTCCCAAAACCCAAGCGCTAAGCACGGACAGCTCACGTGCTATAATATCAATACCTGGATCCGGACGGTCAACTCACGTGCTATGCGGACAACTCACGCACTATGGTATCAGTACCTAGATCCGCACG